TACATATAAAATGTTCTGTTTGCATGTAATATTTGATACCTACTACTACATTTGCCTAAAGGTTTACTATATACCACAAACCAATGTTCTACACTTGACCTTCCATATTCAGGTTGACAAATAACCTGGGAGTAACAATGATTTTTAATATGATCTTATTCGTTATTTGATTGCTTTACCAAAATAGATTTTTACAAAAATTTATTAAAACACAAAAATTGACACAGTTTAAAAAATGTATCTGTGAATACTGAAGATTGTTTTCCATTTTATATTATTTTTTATTAGTAGGTAACATAACCCAGTATGCAGTACTCTAGTATTCTTTCCCAAACACACACTCTCAGACACACATACTCACTTAACACATTATATTGATGATATCAGGCCCTCTCTGAGAAAGAAAGCCGTTTACCACATTGTGTTTGTGCATCAGGAGTGTCAGAAGAAACTAGAACACAAGCTGGGCTGGACTCATACTTACTAAAGCCTGTGCAGAGGATCACTAAATACCAGCTCCTGCTGAAGGTACATGTGTGTGTGTGTGTGTGTGTAGATGTAATAACTGAAGGTTTTGTTAAATAGTAAGAACTGCATCTTAAAGTCAGCGTGAATTAAAAATTCACTCTATATCCTAAATGCATGTTGTTGATCTTATTCTGAACGATTCCTCCTTGATTTAATTTAAAAAAAAAGAAAAAAAAAAGAACTGTCAATAATTCCATTTCAGGAGTCATGCAGAATTTCTCTTTGAAATGTGTTTTAGGAGATGATTAAGTACAGCAAAGGCTGCGAGGGCTCAGTGGAGCTGCAGACAGCTCTTTCCTCCATACTAGGGATCCTGAAGGCTGTAAATGACTCAATGCATCTCATTGCCATCACAGGATATGAGGTAAAAGCCATGCACGTGCATTCTCTCACTCTCCGTTAATATTCTTTAATGTTTTCTGTCACTCCTATTTATTCCACATCTGCAAGCAATATTTATTGATTCCATGCAGGGTAACCTTGGAGACCTGGGTCGCCTGCTGATGCAGGGGTCGTTCAGTGTGTGGGCAGAGCATAAGAAAGGTCATGTGAAGGTGATAGAGTTGGCTAGGTTTAAGCCCATGCAGAGACACCTGTTCCTGCACGAGAAAGCCCTGCTCTTCTGCAAGAAACGAGAGGAGAGCGGAGAGGGATACGAGAAAGCCCCCTCATATAGCTTCAAACAGGAGCTTAGTGTGAGTATAATAACATAGAGTGTAATAATGCTTAGCTACAGGCGTTATAAAATGATGATGAGCTCATATTGGTTATCTTCTGTTATGTTCAATTAACCATAGCATTTGAACGATCTGACATTTTTTCTAAAATAGCAAATGCAACATATTATATATATTTTATTGAACATTAGAATTGTATTGCCCATACTAAATTGCTTTTATTTATTTAATTTTTATAAATGCAAGAAGCATTTTTTATAACATGCACAAACTCAAATATTCAAACATTTTTGTTAATTTTTTTGGAGCCTAGTGCTTTTTATATAATTCAATTTGTTAATATGAATATACCTAATATGCATGTTTAAATTAGTTTTGTCACATTTTTTTTTTCATACTTCAATAGCCTATTTACCTGATGGTCTCTGTTTTCATTAGATGGCTGCTATTGGAATAACAGAACATGCTAAAGGGGACAGCAAGAAGTTTGAGATCTGGTCCAGTTCAAGGGATGAGGTCTACACAGTACAGGTGAGCACAAGAGTGTTGTGTCTTAGTTCATATTCCTATTAAAAAGATTAGTCATCAGGCGTGTTGTTATTGTCTGGTATATGTTATCCTTAGGCCGTGTCTGAGGAGGTTAAGACTATCTGGGTGACAGAAATCCGGAAACTTCTAACAGGACAGTTGGAGGCCTGCAAAGGTATTGGTCTGGTTTTATGTTTGTTTGGAAAGAAATATGTGATGCGTTCAGATGACCGATTTAACACAAAGATGCATTAAATGCATGCTCTTGTTATGTAGAGGCAAGTCAACAGAGGGGACCTGATCAGTTCACCTCAGATACCAGCTCAACTAACAGGTACAACTACACACGATCACATTTACACATTTTTTATTGGAGCTAATTTTAAAACATGAAATTACATTTTAAGACTGGTGAAAAATGAATGCAGTAACCTCAGGAGTGGAGGAGTGGAGAAACAGAAGACAGAAGAGGAAAGAGGCAAAGAATTTGAGAACATTTTAGAACCTGGAACAACACAGAGAGTCAAAGGTGAGTGAAAAAATGTAACTATACGACATGCATACATACATCATGTCATTAGAGACTTTTCATTCTTGTTTGAACTACTTTTTTTTAACTTATTTCTGTTTCTTTTGGTGGTTTACAGGGTCGTCATTCAGCTTTGAGACAAAACCAAAACGACAGGATATCCGAAGTGACCCTACACCTCTAGGTGACCTAGCAGACTGAAAACATGAAAGTCCACATGTTCTCGAAATCTTCTCTTCAGGGGATTTTAAAAATAAAAATAGAAATGGCTGATGCTAAAACCAGCTAATTCATTGCCACCAAGCTCTCTAAAGATTAAAGACAGAAAATGAGCAGTTCATTCCTGCTCATAACTCTATCGAGTGTGCTTCAGTTCAGGCAATGTGCCATCTGTACTGTATCTACGAAGATACAGGGATGCCATCTGATCGGTTATTTTCCTCCCAGAAACAGGGCCACACCCTAACTTGGGCGGAGTCAGGTGGTTCAGTACATCAAGCCTGTTTCAGAATCGTAGGAGAGGTACACATACTGAGTACACATGTATGTGCACACTCATGCATACTCCACTGAGGTCTTACTAGGGTAGCATGTTCTTGTAGGTTGTATGTGTGTCTCATCTGATGCTTTCTGAGTGGTTCTGACCACGTCTTCGTCTATACAAGATTATTTCGGGGTTAAGCTCTATCGACAGCATCGGTTACACAAACAAATTAGTCCCTCGGTTACATAGGATTCACATTACATAGGATTTCAAAGCAGAAATGTGCAGCACATGGTTTTGTCAAAGCGCTTTTGTGAATTGTTCTGTATTACAAATGTGTTATTTGTGGACAAATTGTCCTTTTTTTATGCTGTTGATAGACATTAACATGTATTGAACCCAGAACATACCACTGACTCACACTCACGCATGCTCTGAGTGGTTTTGAAAATGTTCACTGGTCTCTCCCCTGTCTATCACGTCACAATGAGACTTTAATGGGACTTTGCTGTCATCTCTACATGGCCCTCATTTATGTGCTTACTTGCAACACAAACTCTGTTCCCCATCCTTTTAAAATTGATTTATTTTTTCCTCCCACTTTCTTCTGATTGTCTCAGGTTGGTCTAAAGGATCTCTTTCGCTGGATGCCTCTGTGGAGCATGATGGATACTTTAGTGCAGAGGAGCACATGACCTCTGACCCCGAGGAGGAGAAGGAAGAAAAACCGGTGCATGACCATGTCTGTTTTTTATTGTTAGACTTAAAGCAAAAGGGTGTCATGTTTTATGCATTTCCTCATCTTTATTTCAGTGTGAAGATGAGCTGCAGTCTATGAGGATAGAGGAAGAGATTCCGTTTTCTGAAGAGACTAAGGACCCTGAGGAATGAGAGTTGAATGGGAATATGTCCGTTATGCCATCAATGTACAGCATATACACTGTGTCATGCATAACTCTGGAAAAGAGGTAAATGAGACATATAAAACATTAACTTGGATGTTTTAAATACTCTTAAAAATAAAGGTTCATGGGTGAACCACGTGGTTTAGATTATCCAGAGAAAGCTGTCTATTAGCATTCCCAGTCATTTAAATGTCATTGTGACGACAAGTGCTTTTTATGAGAATACACAGCTAATTTTAAATAGTTGTCAATGGAGGAAAATGCTTTTTAGAACCATACATCTACCAGCAGGGGTGATAGCAACCAGCCAAAAACCAAAAGGTTAGTCCCAAAAATAGGTTATCAGCCTCCACATGGACCTTTTTTTATTATTTAATTATAAGAAAACATCTTTAGACCATAATATAAATACCTATAATGTAACATTGCAAAGAAATGTATACATTGAAAATTAACTCTTGTTCTCTTTACTCAGAGTTATTTGCAAAGACCCATTGAAGAAGCTTTATTTTTAAGAGTGTAGTCTTTGAATTCACCAAAATAATGCATTTCGCAGACACCTTATAGTCTTATAGTATGTTGTGATACATGTTTCATATCCCTTAAAACTTAGTAGTAATTTGTGCCACAGTAATTGTGTCTATAATGGGATATGACATGTCTGTTGTCAAGTCCTGTAATCTCTAATGTGAATGCATGTGACAGCTGTTATATCATTGTGTCTAGGAAACTAGGACCTTCTGTACATGTAAAACAAGCATATCATATATGCAGATGTTGTTTCTCAAAGTGACTGTGATCACCCTGTGCCATTTGTATGTAAAATGTTTAAAAATCAAAATTGTTTTGTATATACATTTAAAAATAAAATCATAGTTGACTAATGACTTTTGCCTATTTTGATCGAAATTATCACGATTATGAATTTAGCTAACATTCTATAATAATATGTAACAATCATTAATATTTGTAATATATGTTTCTACTGTAACTTGTAATATTTGTAACTTTTGGCACTCTAGCGGTTAATTAACAGAACTGCATGCGTTTTGAGGAAGAAAATGGTAGACTCTGAGCTACTACTCTCTGTTTATGTAAATGACGAATCAGGTAGCCAACTGGACTACTCCTTAGCAGTGCCGACTCAAACCAGTCTGAATAGTCCGAATAAACTTATTATGGGTGTACCGTAGTGATTTGGGATAATGCAAAAACACAGTTTGAAATAAATTCATGATATTCTCGCGTATTATATAATTTTTGAACACACACACAAAAAAATATACGGACTGCTGCTCAAATATATAATATAAACTATATAAACTAGCGCGTCCTCGCTCTTTGAGAACAATATTGGGCAGTGAGCGTTCTCTTCCGACGCGAAGAGATCTACCTCTGCTCTGCCGAATATTCGCCACAGCTTCTGGACTGTTTGAGCGTGCATGGACCATTCCCCCCCGGGAGGATGAGGTTCCTGGAAAGTCTGTCTGAGCCGTGTTCAGATGGCCCGGCACGCGTCAACTAGCTCGCTGCATCCTGCGGTGGGTATTTTTTTTTTTAATTTTATTTTTTTTCCTGCGGTGGATATTTTTTTTTTTTTTTTCTTTTTTTTAAATTTTATTTTTTATTTCAAGAATTACAATTACAGTCAGGGGTACATTGAATAAACTAAATACAAAAAACAAGAAAAGACAAACAAAGCAGTGACAAACTTAAGTTAAACAAAAATGTGAAAATGTTTACATATAGATACACATTTTGCAGCTTTCTTATTTTTCAAACCCAGTATTGTTTTTAGGTATTGTTGAATTTCTGCTCTTAAAATTAAAAACAAAGGCTTGTTTCCACCAAATATCCAACCCGGCCCACATCCAAGTGTGACGTCAGAAGCCACGCCCATCCACGTGTGACGTCAGAAGCCACGCCCATCCATTTGTGACGTCGGAAGCCTCGCCCATGTCCAAAGACGGCACGTGACTCAATTTGATGTGATTCGTGACGTGTACACATGCTCAAAATGCCGCTGCTTCCTGTCGGAATATGTTTATGGTTGTTATCATAGTAGATTTATAATAAAGATGAGGTTATTTGTGTAGAGATGTGGCACTACAGATTATTGGTGCAGTTAAATTGTGACGCTTTGGCAGGCTTGGAATCGTCTAAATCACAAGCACTCCCTTAACAGCTGTATTAGACAATACGTTTGCATTGCTCACTGGTTTTGTAAGTTAATGACAAGTAAACAATGTACCTTAAAACGATATTTTTGTATTTCTCTTGTATTTCTGTTACAAATGGTAATCAATAATCATGGTTTTGCTATAATAAACATATAAGGGAGCATCTATACTTAAACTAAAATGAGTTTTTATCTCTTTCTTAATTATATGGGATCCAAACTGCACTTATAGTTATCCCTTCTAAAAAATAATTAAAAAAAACTTTTTTAAACATTTCTTTCTATGTGGTTATAGAAATATTGCATTTTTACAAATTAAGAATTCACCTGTTAATGCCTGTTATAGCAAATTACTTTGAAATGGCAGAATGGAATTTATGTAAACCTTAAATCATATTCTAATATATAATCTACTCATTAGTCATTATAAGCAAAGTGAGATATTTCATGCCTTTATGTGTTATAAATTTGATGATTACGGCATATAGCTATGTTGAATTACCGAAATAAATGAACTTTTGCACAATATTATAATACATAAAAAAACAGTTAATCTCTCGCTTCCTCTTCTGTACAGGTTTTATGAGTTTAACATATCAAAATATCATCATAGTTCAAAATATCTTGGTCACAAATGATTTTTTTAATGTAATATTTTGTGTTAATACATCAAGTTTACACATATGGTTAAAAAATGACCCATTTATGCAAGTGTGATAACTTTTTGTTAAAATAACCAATGTCAGTTGTTCAGAGCAAATCCCTGCAAAATCGGAGGCTGCAGCTTTAGGACCCCGGTTACAGGACCCTTGTTTTAGTTTGTACGTACATTTCGAAAGACATTTAATCTCAGGAGTATTTTTATAAAATGTGTTTTTTTATTCAAAATGCATCAGAGACATTTACAAAAATGTAAATTTATACAAAACAAATTAAAAATGTATATCAATCTTATTCAACTGAAAAGTGGTGTGAGCCCTAGTTTCTTGAATTATGCTGTATATTGATTAACCTACTCAAGTTTAACTAATTTGCTCATTATCAGATAAAATAACGATGGAATCAGCACATGCAGTCACTAAATGATATGGCCAGAATATCAGAAGGCAAAACTCGAGAATGATTCAAGCATGAATTTATTTATATATACATATGTATTTATTTATATTATACGAAAGAACAAAATTATTTATGTTAGATAAATAGATAAATTATAAAAGCACCAAAAAGATCCCCCGTTTTCCACCAGTTGCTGCAGGAATGGCTTCAACTCTGAGAGAGAGAGAGACAGAGAGAGAGATACAAATGAGTTTAACATGTTCAAATATATATTTCAGATTTAACACTAAACAGTTATGAAATGTTGGAGTTGTAGAGAAAGTCAAATTGAATATTCATGTTACTGACATCTAATTCCAGAGTCCAAATGTGTAAATGTAAAAGTAACAGCCAACAATTGAATGGTCTCCTTTCTTTCCTCAATTGTTTGTCAATTTGTCATTTAAAATCTTCCACTTTACTGAAATAGTTATCAGAGAACAGTCACAGTTGTGTTACTGTAACAGAATTATCAGTAACAAAAGGGTGCACGGGGCATTGTGCAAAAATAATGAATAATCTACTCTGACCTGCAATGATAATCCAGAAAGGAAGACCTGCTCAGCCTCCTGTGAGGAGATATCCCAGCCAGGAGACAGACAGGGCATTTATGATTGCCTATGGAAAAAGTAAATATAAATGTACAATAATATATCTCATATTCTTTTTCAAGTAGAATAAGATTTACAGGATGTAACGTCACACATAAACACTAAAATAATATATTTTTATATTTACCCTTAATCCAAATAAAAACATGAAATTGGTGAAATAATAATAATAGTATAGTAGACATAACAAAAGTTTCAGTTGAGAGTACTGATACTAAATACACCAAGAGACATCACAGGGGAGTTAAATGACCAATATGCAAGTTGAAGATAATTCATAGCTCTAAAACAACATCAAACCTTATTGATTCGAATGACGTCGATATTTTGACAATTTATTTCTAGACTATTTATTTAGTCGTTCGCGTTATTCGCCTCTGCCATAACGACCTATTGGTTTTCATTAAACCGAGAAAATGGAATTTTGTTTTATTTACGATCACGGAGAAATGTTCTATTATTTAAAATGCAAAAAACAAAAAAAAAACACAAAAAAAACAACAAAACTTGTATTATTTTCAAGGTGAAAATGATTCATTTGCATGGATCCACGCCGAAGAAAATGTCTAAATGTCACGTTTTTAATGAAGCAGGCTAATGAGTAAAATGTCTATTTTTCCGGCGTCCCCCCAGCTCCTCGTTTAAAGGGTAACTAAACCCCTGGTCAGAGCCTGACTCCACCCACTAGCAATATTTGAAAAATGCTGAAAAAATGGGCAGACCCCAGCGGGGCTAGGGGGCGTGCACCTGAGACCCGCCGTGAGTGACAGCTGCTGTCAGACTCTAAAATAGAGCGAGACTAGTCTGGAGTGACTCAATAGCTGCCTTTGCAACAGAGCGGCCATTTGAAGTCGAGGACTTTTCTCCCTCACCTTCACCTTCACCTGAAGTGGATGAGGGTGAATTGTATGTATACACAGGGCCAAATCCATTCGAGCTGCTGGCTCAAACTGCGGTCTTAACTCCCGCATCGCGACCGGCATCTGATGACTTATGTCGTCGAGTTGATCTCAATAGCGCACGCTATTGATATTATGCCGCTATATGAAAAAATCCAGCAAAATGCACCGGCTCGTTTGTCGACCCTAGAGGATTAACTTTATCCTAACCATAAATTGTGATTAAAATATCCATGATCACTCACATCAAGACGCCGCTGCGGTGGAGGAGTCCATGCAGGACGAGCAGTGTTTGGCACTGCGTGTGGAGAAGCCCATGTCCACCTCTATTCCGTTACTATCCTGATCACTGTACTAAACACTGATAAATCTATGCTAACTTGAAGCTATCCTAACTGTACTATGCTACTAGCTACACAAAATAATCTAAATTATCTATATAATGCTATGCTAAATAGATGCAACAATACTCTATCCTGGTCGTTTTCAAAAATAATCTAAATAACTATATAAATGCTATGCTAACTAGATGCTATTATATGCTATAGTATCCTGATCGTTTTCAATATTCATAAATCCAACTCCTGACTCCTACAGTAGTTTTGACGGAACCAGATGCTTTTATACCAGGGGCTGCCAAGGGCGTGGTGAGCTCGCACCAAGGGTGTGACAGAGTGCGTCTGAGAGTTCGCTACGTCAGCAAGTACCCCTACTGCAGGAGCTTTCCGTTTAACCTGAAGAGGGCAGCACTCAGACGTTTTTACACCATATATTTGAAAATCAAAACACTTTATACTCAATTGTCAAAAAATGTACTCGAATCAATGAACAGCATTTATGAAGCTCCATTCTTACAGATCATTAACTAAAAAAAGTTGTTTTGGTGTTTAGTTACCCTTTAAGCAAAAGGTACGCTAAAACAACGTATTACATCGATGTTAAACCACGTTAACCGTGTTAACCATAACCTTTTAAATACTCGACCTAGCTCCATTGCTTAGCAATGAGAAGAAACTCCTGTAACTTCAGTGCCCAACCCGTATCACGACAAGACGTGAAATAATCACGTTGGTCCACTTTGGAAAACG